TGTGTGTTTTTTAATATTTCACTCTTTTAAAGAAATTGGAAATTTCCGATATAACCAATAAATTTGATTTTTTTCAAAGGATGGGGATTTTTAAGTAAAATTTTTTAAAGAAAAATTACATGTCGAGGATTTTTTAGAAAATGTTTTTAAGAAATTATTAAATGACGTGTTTTAAGGAATATATTTTCAAAGGAGAATACATTTTCAAAAGAAAGAATATCAAAAGACCAACACAAGGCTTCGATTTTTAAAGAATATTTTTCCAAAGGACCAAGCATATTATTTAAAGGACCAACACAAGGCTTGGAATTTCTTTAAAAAAGGCCAGGTATATTTTTATAGAACTGACCTTTTTACAGATTTTTAAATGAAATATATTTTTGTAAGGACCAAGAATATATTTTTTATACCCTCCACCATAGTATGGAGGGTATATTAATTTTGTCACTCCGTTTGTAACTCTTCGAAGTTTGTAGTATGGTTTGCAATTTATCTAAAATCGGCCTTTGAGGCTTCAAATTGCATTTTTGAAAGAAATAAATAAATATTCATTTCCGACCCTATAAAGTATATATATATATATTCTTGATCAGGGTAAAATTCTAAGACGATCAAGCCATGTCAGTCCATCCGTCCGTCTGTTGTAATCACGCTATCTTCTGTAGGAATTGAGATAAGGTGCTGAAATTTTACATAGGGTTGTCTTTTGTCTGCAGGCAGGTCAAGTTCGAAGATGGGATATATCGGTCCACGTTTAGGCATAGCTCCCACATAAGGGTACCCCCCAATTTTCGGTATTTTGGGGTTCTTGAGCGCGTTTTTTAGCCGAATTCGCTGAAATTTGGTGCATTGGGTTCTTATTGAATACTAAATGTCTCCACAAAAAATTATAAGTATAGGTCAATATTTTCTGGTAGGCCCCATATAATGGTACCTCCTAATTTTCAGTATTTTGGGGGTTTTGGTCGTATTTTTCCGCTGAATTAGCTGTAATTGAGTATCTTGAGTTATTAATAGGTACCAAATTTCTCCACAAAATTTTTGAATATAGGTCCATTTTTTCGGATAGCCCCCATATAAGGGTACCCCCAATTTTCGGTATTTTGGGGTTCTTGAGCACCTTTTTCAACCGAATTTGCTGCGTCGCATAATGGTGGGAATGTATTATCTCTCTGTCTTTCCTTTTCATTGTAACTTCGATCATGTTGCTCATATCGAAAGATATCTAAATTAATAAAAGCAATTTCTATAGACCATTTGAAAAGTTTGCAAAAAATAAAAGGGGGTGTTCACCATGACGTGCAAATTTAAACTATGCATCTAAAATTGATATCCACCATTATATGGTGACCATTTCAAAACATAGACCTATATTTCAAATTTTTCTTAAGAACCTTTAATTTACAACCTTTTCGGTGGGAGAATGCGACAAAGGCCTGAAAAATACGGAAAATAAGGCGAAAAATTGACGCTATATTGAAAATGTTATGCAAGTATTTTTTCATCTCCCAAACACAAGAATGCTAAGTTACACACAACCAGGACATTTAATACTTAATTTTTGGTATTGTATCCCAAACTTTTTTTAATTTTAAAGGAACATTGGCTGGGTTTACCTCTTGATGTCCAGTGTAAATGTTTAAGATTCTCGCTCACATCTGTTCACTGAAATCCTGTCGTTGGGTATTAACAAATATTAACTACAAATCCAAGATTATTTTCAACACTTATTTTCAAAACTTCTATTTTTTTTATTTACTAGTATTTATTCACATACATTTTGATTGACACATTTGCTTAATATCACTTTAATTATACACAAAAAATCAATTTAAATTCATTAGATTAGATTTCACTTTGCGTACATATTTAAATTCAATAACAAATAAGACACATTATTTATTTAAACAAGCAATTAATTTATAATATATAACAAACAAGCTTATACAAATCAATTAGGTTTGTTTGCACATTAAAGTGATTTTTTTTCTTCTTCACTCTACGGGTTTTTGCACTAATTAGTTAGGTGTTGTTGTTTTTTTTCTTAACACCGGTTATTTATTTTAATTGATTTTTTCTCAAACATTAAAAACTGATTTATTTAATTTTTTCAACGATTTTGTGTTTTTACAAAAAAAAGTATTCACTGAAGAAAATTATCCATAACACTGTTTTCGATGTTGTTATTGTAACTGGTGATTATTTCCTTAGTTGAGTATTTTTTACGACGCGACATAATAAGTGACACGCGAGACGTAAATTAAACGCATAACGCCCGCGCATTTTTGTATCAAAGTTGGTTGGCTGTTTGGTTCAAGTAAAGCCCACACAGCTCCTTTCTCTATGGCTTTTCCTCTTTAAAAACACAACACACACTGACACTCTTTCTCTCTCTTCCACTCTAACCACGATTATTTTTTTATTATTATTGTCATAGACCGGCACTTTACAATCCATTTACATTCGTAAGACACCGGTTCAGCTTTCATCTGGTATCATGATAAACTTTGTTTATACTAATCGCAAAAACTCCACTCGGCACGCATCATCAGTCGACGCCAACCAGTAAATGAACGGGTCAAAGGAATACCCACGCACACACATTTGAAAGTCGATGATGTTGATGACGATGATGCCAAAAACGCAAAACAACAAATTGCATTAACAACTATAAAATAACAACTACACCAACAATAATAATAATCATCAACACTCTTCACAACCACATAACAACGATTAATGTAACGTAACGTAAAAACGATCAAAGAAAAATACGCACGATGATCATCTTTTAACCGCACACGAAGTGTTCTTCGTTACAAAACAATTTGCGTAAATTTCATTAAGACACGGCGAGCGAACGATCGAACAAACGAACGAACGAAGAACGACCAACAAGTGAGACAGACCAACAGCCGCACGTTGTGTTAAGTTACAGCGTTGAGTTGGTATTAAACGATCAGAATGCACGAAATCAGCAACAAGAAACAACCGAAATAAAAATAATAACAAATAACACAACCAAAGAAGGAAGACAACGAAAACACATAGCAACTAACAACAACAACAGTAACACACACAAAAAAAGTATTTCAGTTGTTGTTTTTGTGTGTAGGCATGCATGCACATGGAGAAAAGGCGAACAAGATTGAAAGACCGATCGACCAAACGACCTGAACCGACAGACAACTAGACAACAATCGTGTTGTGTTGTTACATTCAGAGATTATTAGTGGAGCAGCAGCCGCACCGCCACCATCATCCACAAAGGTAAACAGAGAGTCGGAAAAAAATCAATCAATCTCCAACTCTCGTAATGTATTCTCACTCCAATTGTGAGAAATGTTCTCCCACAGAGAAAGAGCACACACAAATTCTTATAAAAAAAGAGTTTCTTCGTCTTGTTCTTCTCATTCATATGGGAGCATTGTTGTTGTGTATTGTGTCTAGCCGAGACTAGGTAAATAAAACGGAAATACTTAAACATATTTAAATTAGTTTTTGTTGTTGTTGTTGTTATTGTGGCTGTGGAATACAATGTGTTTTATGTGACATATTTCGATGTCAGACACAGAGTTAAAGATGAATATTAGGGTGGCCGAGGGATTATTTTTTAAAACTATTTTTAAGGTATACCAGAGGTGTGGATTTTTTAAAGAATATTATTTCAAGGCCTAGAACAGGCGTAGATATGTTAAAGAATATTACTTCAAGGCCTTGAACAGGCGTAGATTTTTTAAAGAATATTATTTTAAGACCCAGAACAGGCGTAGATTTTTTAAGAATATTATTTCAAGGCCTTTTCTAAGCCTAGAACAGGCTATGGATATGTTAAAGAATATTTTTCAAAGCCTTTTCTAAACCTAGGGCAGGCTTGGTTTTTTAAGAATATTCTTCAAAGTCCTTTCTAAACCTAGGGCAGGTGTGGATTTTTTAAAGAATATTTTTCAAAGCCTGTTCTAAACCTAGGGCAGGCGTGGTTTTTATACCCTTCACCACACTGTGGTACAGGGTATTATGTATTTGTGCATATGTTTGTAACAGGCAAAAGGAAACGAGATAGATACATGGTTCCTTTTTAGAATATGCATAGAATCACCATGTCCATTTATGCACGTCCGTCTGTGGATGTAAAATTGTAAACAAAGTACAGGTCGCATTTATGATTCGATTTGGATGAAATTTGGCGCAAGTCCCTTATTTGGCCCAAGGGCGAACCCTATTGAAATTGGGAAAATCGGTTCAGATTTAGATATAGCTCCCATATATATGTTCGTCCGATTTCAGGTAAATGGGGCACCAAAGTCCCTATATATCTTTCGATTTGCACGAAATTTGACATAGAGTACTGAACTAGGTCCAGAATCGAGGTTTCAAGGTTCAGATTTAGATATAGCTCCCATACATATTTTCGTCCGATTTAATGTAAGTGATTTACCAAAGTCCCTATATATCTTTCGATTTGCACGAAATTTGGCATAGCGTAATTAATTAGGTCTAGACTGATGTGTGTCAAGTTTCCTAAAACTCGGTCCAGATTTAGATATAGTTCCCATATATATTTTCGTCCGATTTAATGTAAATGGTGTATCAAAGTCCCTATATATATTTCGATTTGCACGAAATTTGGCATAGCGTAATTATTTAGATTTAGATATAGCTCTCATATATATTTTCCTCCGATTTAATGTAAATGGTGCACCAAAGTCTTCTGACATTCTCTCTCTCCAGATGCTATTGGGTTCCCTATATAGTTGCCCAACTTTGAACCTTCAACTAATTTGAAATCAGGAATGTTGGGGGTCTATTTAACATCATGTTTTGTTTGTTCATGGTTTGGTGTCTAATCTTTGCGACAACATTCCGTGTTTATTGCTTTAATTTGCTGATAAGACGGAATTGAAGTGTGACCCCCCAAAAATGTCTAGTCAGCATCTGGTTCATAAAACGATAGTACATCGTTGATAATTGCTTAGTTTGTTTCAAGAAACGAAGGCGCAATGTTTATTACCGGATTTTTAATAATAATTCTGACGATCTTGATTTTCTTATATCATCGAAATTTCTCATATTGGACACGCGTTAAAAATGTCCCCAGTGTACCGGGTCGTATTTTTAGTGGTAATCTCTTGGATTTTCTATCGTTCAAAACTAATTTCGGTTTTCATTTGAAAACTATTTACGATGATGTGAAATTTGCCAATGCACCCGTAGTTGGGGTATATAGCCTGTACAAACCTTGCTTGCTGATTCGCGATCCGGATATTATCAAATCAGTGTTGATTAAGGATTTCGATTGTTTCCATAATCGTTTTGTAAAATTGGATTACGAACATGATCCATTGGGTGCCCAAATGATGTTCTTTGCCGACTACCCCCTGTGGAAGGAAATGCGTACGAAGTTGAGTTCCACCTTTACCAGTGGCAAATTGAAATATATGTATCCGCTAATACAACAAGTTGGCGAGAATATGCAGAACTACTTGGAATCTCAAGGTGCGGTTTTCCAAACCGAAATGAAGGATTTATGTGCCCGTTTGACCACCGACATGATTGCCACCACGGTGTTTGGTTTCCAGTCGAATTCCGTGCAGAATCCTTCCGAAGATTTCCACAAAGAAGTCCGCTACTTAAGTCATTTTACATGGCGTCGGGCGTTAGATTTTCTTGTCGTATTGTTTGCTCCGAAATTAACTCGTCCATTGGGTACAAAGATTCTATTTCCCGAGACCGAACAATTTCTGCGAACCACAATAACTCAGGCAGTGCAGCAGAGGGAATCCTCCCAGGGAGGTGAAAAACGTAATGATGTCATTGACATTTTTGTTAAACTAAAGCAGGATGCTATGGAAAGAGGAGAGCAGAACATCGACAAATTCATGGAATGTTTAATTGCCCAGGCGGGTATCTTTATGGTTGGGGGTTTTGATACCTCATCGACGACGATATCAAATGCTCTATTGGAATTGGCCAAACAACCGGAATTACAAACGAAATTGAGGCAAGAAATCAAGGATGCTTTGGCCGAAGGTGATGGAGAAATTTCATATGAGGCCTTCGGTAAACTAACATACATGGAAATGGTTATCAACGAGACATTGAGAATATATCCAGTGCTACCGGTTATTGATCGACAATATGCCACTCCACCGGGAAAGCAGCCATTTTCCCTAAAACCCCATTGTGATTTTACACTACCCGAAGGTATGCCGGTGCTAATATCACCCTATGCTTTGCATTATGATCCTAAGGTGGGTTCTAATTTTTCGAAATAACCAGTTTTATGAAATTATTATTTTTTTTTTTTAGTATTGGCCAAATCCCCAAAAATTTGATCCGGAACGTTTTTCCCCAGAGAATAAATCGCAAATCAATCCCATGGTCTTTTTACCCTTTGGCAATGGTCCCCATAATTGTATTGGCGCCCGTTTGGGTATGATGCAAGTGAAAGCTGGCCTCTTGTATATTTTGAAAAATCATTATGTTCGTGTCTGTGAACGCACGAAACTGGAACCGAAATTCGATGCAAAACAAACTACTCTGCAAGTTGTAGGTGGAATTTATTTAGAAATTGTAAAGGAGGAATAAAATTTGGAAATATTTGATAAAGATAAAGATAATGTACAAAAAATATTTTTAAAGCAGTGAGCGGGGCAGTATAGCCGGACAGGGCTGACCATACGATAGCCTACACAACTACCACGGAACTCGAACTTTCTGCGGATTTTTATTGCGATTAGATTTCAACAGCACCTCTTCATTACACTGACATATTTTCCAGATACAGTACGCTGTCAAATTTCGTGCAAATCTAAAGTTATATAGGGACCTTGGTGCACAATTTACATAAAATCGGACCAAAATATATATGGGAGCTATATCGAAATCTGAACTGATTTTCCCGAAATTTAGCACTTATCATTCTAGACTCTATTCATTACGCTATGCCAAATTTCGTCCGAATCGAATGATATATAGGGACTTTGGTACACCATTTACCTAAAATCGGAAGAAAATATATATGGGTGCTATATCTAAATCCGAAGCGATTTTCATGAAATATAACACACACCTTTCTACACTTTATTCAATACGTTGCGCAAATTTTCGGTCAAATCGAAAGTTATATAGGGACCTTGGTGCACCATTAACATAAAATCGGATGAAAAATATATATGGGAGCTATATCTAAATTTGAACCGATTTTTCCGAAACTCACCACTCATCATTCTAGACTCTATTCATTACGTTATGCCAAATTTCGTGCAATTCGAAAGTTATATAGGGACCTTGGTGCACCATTTACATAAAATCGGATGAAAATATATATTGGAGCTATATCGAAATCTGAATCGATTTTTCCGAAACTCACCACTTATCATTCTAGACTCAATTCATTACGCTATGCAAAATTTCGTGCAAATCGAGGGATATAAAGGGACTTTGGTGCACTATTTACCTAAAATCGGGCGAAAATATATATGGGAGCTATATCTAAATATGAACCAATTTTTCCCAATTTCAATAGGGTTAGTCCATTGGCCAAATAAATGAGCTGCGCCAAATTTCATCCAATTCGAATCAAAACTGCGACCTGTACTTTGTTTACAATTTAACATTGACAGACAGACGGACGGATGGACGGACATGCATAAATCGACTCAGAAAATGATTCTATGCATATTCTCAAAAAGAACTATGTGTCTATCTCTTTTTTTGAACCTCGTGGAAAATTTGTGGTAATGGCTTACTAAATTATATCTGAATACGTAAGCACCTGTAAATATTTAAGTGTAGCTTCCACATCCGAGTACATACGACAATATAATTGGTATCAATTTAAAGGTCAACCACTCCTCTTGGATATACTATCAACTTCTCGGCTCTACATCCTTCAGGAGTAAATGTATACGCTATAGAATACAAATTTTGTCATTTTTCACACAAAAGTCAGGGTCCATTTGACCCGCTAAATATTAATCGATCTTTATCAAAACTGACATGCTTATTCGGACCATAATTGCAGCATCTAGAGCGACCAGTACAAACATTTGTTATTAGGTCCATTTCATCCCCTAAATATTAACTGATCTTTACCAAAAACAATAGGGGTCGTCATTGGCCCGAACCGATCCTACATGCAAAATTTCAAGAAGATTGGTCCATAACTGTGGCCTGTATCGTGTTTATAATGGACAGACGGACGGACACACAGGTCTAGATCGACTCAGCTAGACGAGATATGACGATCGGTATACTTAATGGTGGGTCTAGGACCAATATTTCGCGGCGTTACAAACTCTTGGGGCTGCACAAAGCTATAATACCCTGACAACATTGTTGTGTAGGATATAAAAAATCCAGGCCTCATAAAGATCTGGGAAAATACATCTAAAAAAGCCAGGTATTGAAAAACAATTTAAAAAATCCACAGTTCTTACAGGTCTAGAAAAAATTAAAAAATCCACGCCTCCTACAGGTCTTGAAAAAACACATTTTTTTCCACGCCTCTTACAGGGGTTGAAAAAAATTAAAAAAACACGCCTTTTGAGAAACACATATTTTTTAAAAAGTCAGTCTTCTCTGGCCGATCTTTTCACAAACAGGAACTCTTACAGGTCTCAGAAAATACACACCTATTTCTAGTCATTGAGAAATATTTGTATAATATCCACTGGTCTTATAGTCCTTAAAAATATATTTCTAAAATAACAAAGACTCTTAAGCCTCGAAAAAAATCCACGCCTTTTGGTAGGACTTTGATTTTTTTTTTTAAAATTCATGCACTTTGTGGGGCATTAAAAACAATTAAATATACACGTCTTTTGTAGGAATTTAAATAATATTTTTGAAATCCACTCCCTCCTCGCCCTTGTACCTTAAAAAAATATTTATTTTTAAAAATAAAAGCATTTAGAAATTTAAAAAATAAATCCACTCATTTGTTAGGAGTTTGAAACTATATAACGATAGGAATATATAGGACCTTTAAAAATATATTTTTAAAAAATCCTCGCCTTTGGTAGGACCTCAAATAAATATTTTTTTAATTCACTCCAAGGGTGGGACCTAGAAAATCCTTTCAAAAATCCTCGTCTTTTGGTAGTCCTAAAAAATGTTTGTAAAAACTTCCTCTCTTCTATCTGTCTATGAAAAATATTTTATTTACCCAAAAAAATAATAATAATAATCCTATGCCCAAATCCTTTTGTTGCAACTATTTTCGAACACATGCTCCTCGTGTAAGTATTTTTCTTCTCCTTGGGTCTAAGTTCATGACTTTAAGTACCCATCACAATAAGTATGTGTGCGTGTTTAGAATGTCATACTGCCGGCTACTAAGTCTGTGACATAAACCTTATTAATGTCTCACTCATTGACTCTGCCAGCCGCATATTGCCAGCCTGCTTGCTGAGTGCTACCCCTGCCACCATTCCGCTTGTTTATTATTTGTTACCGGCAGTTTTGTAAACATTTCATTTGTCCATTGTCAAAATATTATTGTTCGATCATTGAAGAATTATTCATGTTTTCATGTCTCATTTTTTGTATTATTTTTGAGATGGTGTGTCTGAATGAACGCACAGCTCCCTTGTCCGTCCATCTCGAAGTCCGTCATGTGCGTTTGGTGACAATGTAGCCTTTTTTATGAAAATGACACCCATCCATTGTTTCTTGTTGTTGTTCTGCCTATCTGTCAGTCTGAGGGATTGTCTCAGAATCAGTGTTTGACTGTCTTCTTCGCTACCTCGAACCGCACCCTCTCACCATTTCTTTCTTTGCCTTTTGACACCATAAACGTGATGTAAAAATGTCATATTTTGACAAGCAACAAATCGTCGCATCGTATGCCTCAACATGTTTCCCTGTTGCTGTTGTTTGTTGTTTTGCTACTTGTCCATCAGTTGTTAAGATAAATGTTCGAAATATGACTTTGTGATAAGCAAAACCATAGAGGGAAAGGGGCGAGGGTGATGATTACAAATTGTTTTGATATTCATTTATTTTTTTAACAATGGATTACAGTCAACGACCCAGGGTTCAAATTTTAAATGATTTGTGGGTGTGTCTGTGTGTGAGATAGTAAATAGGATAATGGCTATTGAATTCGCAGAAGAAGGATAATGAAAAATATTAGCTAATTTATCAATGCTCAAGGGAAATTCCATGGAAAAATACACACAAAATATTATTGATGATGACGATGTCTATCAAAGGAAGCTGATGCTGTTGCTGCAGGTTACAAGTTAATGGCGGAAATCATTTGTTTTAAGGCTATGTGCATAGCTGTCGGATTTGTGACAAATGTGAAATATTTTTAGCGGGAAATTTGTAAGTGATATGGAAAAATGTTCTGTAATAAAATATTAATATTTTTCAGGGCTATAAGAAGCGTATATTTTATTTATTTAAAGAAAAAAATTTTTTTCGAGGCCTATAAGAGGTGTCGATTTTTATACCCTTCACCACACTGTGGTACAGGGTATTATGTCTTTGTGCATATGTTTGTAACAAAAGGAAACGAGATAGACACATGGTTCCTTTTGAGAATATGCATAGAATCACTTTTTAAGTCGATTTATGTATGTCCGTCCGTCTGTTGGTGTTAAATTGGAAACAAAGTACAGGTCGCATTTATGATCCGATTTGAATGAAATTTGGCACAGTTCACATATTTGGCCCAAGGACGAACCCTATTGAAATTGGAGAAAATCGGTTCAGATTTAGATATAACTCCCATATATATGTTTACCGATTTAAGGTAAATAGTGCTCCAAAGCCTTTCGATTTGTATGAAATTTGGCACAGCGTAGTGAGTTAAGCCTAGAATGATATGTGTTAAGTTTCCTGAAAATCGGGTTAGATTTAGATATGGCTCCCATATATATTTTCGTCCGATTTTAGGTAAATAGTACACCAAAGTCCTTATAAAATTTCCGATTTGCACGAAATTTGGTACAGCGTACTAAATTCGGCCTATACTGATGTGTGCAAAGTTTCGTTAAAATCGGTGCAGATTTAGATATAGCTCTCATATATATTTTCGTCCGATTTAAGGTAAATGGTGTTCCAAAGTCGCTATATATTTTTCGATTTGCACGAAATTCGGCACAGCGTAATGAATTAGGTCTAGAATGATGTGTTCTAAGTTTCGTGAAAATCGGTTCAGATTTAGATATAGCTCCAATATATATTTTCGTCCGATTTTTGGTAAATGGTGCACCAAAGTCCTTATATATATCATTCGATTTGCACGAAATTTGGCATGAAGTACTGAACTAAGCCTAGAATGATGTGTGCTAAGTTTCCTGAAAATCGGTTCAGATTTTGATATAGCTCCCATATATATTTTTGTCCGATTTTTGGTAAATGGTGCACCAAAGTCCCTATATATCTCTCGATTTGCACGAAATTTGACACAGCGTAATAAATTAGGTCTAGAATGATGTGTGTTAAGTTTCGTGAAAATCGGTTCAGATTTAGATATAGCTCCCATATATATTTTCGTCCGATTTAATGTATATGGTGTACCAAATTCCCTATATATC